AGCAATAAAACCATCTGCAGCCAAGAAACTTATCAAATCTGCCTCTCCCTCGGGGTCCTCTTCTGCCACAGAAACCGAGACGCAACTTGACAAAACAGAAGATGTTTCCCTCGGTCCTGCTGCCACAAAAGCTCCTGTGGAAGACATACCTGTTAAGGGTGATGGAAGCAATTCTGGCTCCCCTCACACCAAATCTGGCGATGGTTCTTCACCCGCCATAAAGGTTAGAGGTTCTAGATTCTCTTCACGCATAGCAAGTAAAAGCTTTAGAACAGTTAGACCGAATGAACTCATCGATCTAAGCCCAGACAAAGAGAATACTCCTACACCCGTAGCCTCTCCTGCTAGGCATGTTCATGTTGATGACATTGAGGTTAGTTTTACTGTTCTGAAATCTGCTTAGATCTTGAAATCTGTCACCATATCTGCCAGTTTCCATTTTTGATCTTTTGTCTTTACATTTTATAGAGTGTTGCTGCTGATGTGCCCATGATTGATGATGATTTGGAGAATGAACTCCTTGCTCAGCTGGACATGTTGATGGATACTCCGGCTAAATCTGGATCTGCCACAGATAATAAAGGGAAGGCAATTGCTGAAGAAGTGGATTTTGATATCAACCTTCCTACTCAGGAGCAGATTAGTTTTGTGATTATGACCATGCAAGAGCTCCTTGGTGGTGATCCTTCCCATTTCTGCAAAGTGCCGGACCAGCAAGCCGCCTTTGAAGCGGCTCAAATCCTTAGCCGAGCCCCACAATTATCATCAACTCAACAAAAATTCTGGGCAGACTTCACCTCCATTTATACGCATTTCAGCAAGAAATTTCGGGTGCTTGAAAGCAAAGTAGCGGCTGCAGATTCTGTTAGGAAGTCTGTAATAGATAGCACTGCCGCTGTCTTGAAGAAGAAAGAAGAATTCTTGGCAGCAAAGGAGGCTCATGTCATGCAAATTACACATGTCCAAGGGCTCAAAGAAAAAATCTCTAACCTTGAAGCCGAGCTTTCAGAGTTGAGAAACCAAGTTCCTCTTGCGGAGCAATCTGAAAAGAGTTTGGCAGAACAGAGAAACAAGCTTCGTGTAGACATGGAAGTTGGTTTGAAATCTGCTGCCAAGATCAAGGATCAGCTACCTTCCTTCACAGCCTCTGCAGATGAAGCCGCCGAAGAAATAAAGAACATGAGAGAAGAATGGAGTTCATGGCAAAACAACCTTAGTTGATTTTTCTCTTATGTATCTCTTTGTCTCTTTGTTGGTTGAGATTGCACAATGTCATGTTTGAACATATTGTTTGCGGCCTATTGGCCATCCAAACTTCTTTTCAATGTTGATCTCTTTCTTGGCTCATATTCTGGAAATCTGCTTGTTGTACTTTTTGTTCATACTTTGGTACAGGTTGAAATCTGTCATGGCCGAAATCTGGCCGCTTTGGTTGTTCACAGCCAGATCTGGCCCACTTACAGATTCGGCTCAGCACTTTTATTGAATGATAAAATGCTTAAAACAATGGAATAAAATACTATACAAATCCTACCTCAAATCTGTCTCAGGTAGAATCAATGGTATCCAAACCTCTAGCCTCCCATATCATAGGATAGTAAGGCTTAAGGTAGATTCCATTTATTTTTCGAGGATGTAACTCTCCATTTAATGATTCAAGCCAATATGCTCCTCCTCTAAGCACTTCATGTATTTGAAATGGTCCTTCCCAATTTGGAGACCATTTCCCAAATCTGGGGTCTTTCTTTCCAGGTGGCAGAATTACTTTCCATACCAGATCTCCTTCTGCCAGACTTCTGGATTTCACCCGTTTGTTGTATGCTTGAGCTACTTTTAATTTCTGTGTTTGCAGCCTATCTAAGGCCGTCAATCGCATACCTTCAAGGTCTTCTAACTCTAGAATCATTGCTTCATTATATTCTCCAGAAGTGAGACCATGTTGAATTGCTATATGCAATGATCTAGTAGATAACTCCATGGGCATAACAGCATCATGTCCAAAAGTTAAAGAGAATGGAGTTACCTTGGTGGAACTCCTTTGTGAAGTTCTGTAAGCCCAGATTGTGTCAGATAACAACTCATGCCAACACCTTGGATTATCATCAACCATTTTTTCCAGCAGATTTATCACAATTCTGTTGGAAGCTTCAGCTTAACCATTGGCTTGAGCATAATGAGGGGTTGAAGTAAGTAACCTAAATCCCATTTCTTTTGCAAATGCCTCCACTTGTGCACCAACAAAAACTGTCCCCTGATCTGAAGTCATTGTTTCTGGCAAACCAAATCTGTGAATGATTTCTTCCTTAAGAAATTTAATAATATCGGTCTGATCAACCTTCTTCATTGGCTTTGCTTCCACCCACTTGGTAAAGTAATCTGTGGCAACAATAATAAAAGAATGCCCTCTAGTTGAAGGAGGATAAACTTTACCGATCAAGTCTATGGCCCATCCTCGAAATGGCCATGGTTTGACGATTGGATGGAGTTCTGACGTTGGAACTCTCTGCAGTGGTCCATGAATCTGGCAGGCTTTACAACCTTTAGCATAGTTGATGCAATCTTTCAAGATCAATGGCCAAAAGAATCCATGTTTACGAATTAGCCATCTCATTTTAATTCCAGCTTGGTGTGCACCACAGATTCCGTTATGCACATCTGACATAATCTGGCAGTACTCATCTGGACCAAGACAGCGCAAAAGTAGTTCATCATGTCCTCTTCTATAAAGAACACCTTCCAATAGAACATAATTCAAGGCCTGCATTTTTGTTTTTCTTGAGACCTTAAAATTTGGATTTTTGAGGTATTCCATGATCGGATAGCGCCAATCTGTCTGGGTTATGTCTATGGAACAAGCAGAAATTGCCATACCACGCATGTGAATAGATGGCAGAATTCGTTTTTCCACAACAACAATTCTGCTCATCACTCCTTCTGGGATTTTTAAGCCCGAGGCGATTTGTGCCATCTCATTTGCTTTTGTGTTCAGATCTCGAGTAACATGCCTCAAGATTACATCATCAAATTCCTCCAAGAGCTGTACTGCCAGAGCAAAATAAGGTGCCAAAGACAAACTAGTGCATTTGTACTCACCTTCTAATTGCTTCAAAATTAATTGTGAGTCACCAATTATTTCTACCATAGGTACCTTGAGCTCTACCAACACTTCCAGCCCAATAATTATCGCCTCATATTCAGCTTGGTTGTTGGTGCAATTGAAATCTAGCTGAAATGACATCTGGGTTTTCAAACCAGCTGGAGAAATAATAATAATTCCTGCTCCAGACATGGAATCTGTGCTAGATCCATCGAAAATAAGCTTCCAAGGAACTAAGCTTATGGGAAATAAATTAATACCTTTTTCCTCATCCGCTTCTACCTCCAGGAACGGATGATCTGCCAGGAAATCTGCCAAGGCCTACCCCTTGACAGCTTTTTGAGGCATGTACTTCAAGTTGAATTTTGACAAGGCCAGAACCCATTTCCCAATTTTGCCTCGCAACAGTGGTCGAGACAACATGTACTTTATCACATCAGTTTTCAAAATAACATAAACCTCGGAATAAAGCAAATAATGCCTCAATTTTATTGCAGCAAAAAACAAAGCAAGATATAATTTTTCGACCAAAGAATATTTCACTGCGGTCTGTGACAGACTCCGACTTAAATAATAAACTGCTTGTTCTTGCTTTTTATTATTTTCTTGAGCCAGCAGACAACCAACAGATTCATCTGCGGCAGATATGTACAAAATCAAAGGTTTGCCTCTTAAAGGAGGCACTAAGACCGGCGGCTTTGATAAATAATGCTTTATTTCCTCAAAGGCGGTCTGATGGTGTCTCTCCCATTTGAAATCTGCTTCTGATTTCAGCTTCAGCAGTGGCGAAAAAACTCTGGTTTTTCCTGCCAGATTTGAGATAAAACATCTCAGAAAATTTACTTGCCCAAGGAATCTTTGTAATTCCTTTTTACTTCTTAGCGGCTGTGCTTCAATAACAGCTCTTGCCTTGTTCTGATCTACTTCCAGACCTCGCTCATGCACCAGATATCCCAGAAAATTTCCAACAGAAACGCCAAATGCACATTTTAAAGGATTCATCTTTAGACCATGCTTTCTCATTCTTTCAAAAGCCAGCTTTAAATGCTCCAGATGTTCTTCATCCTCATTTGATTTCACAACCACATCATCAATATAAATTTCCATAAAACGAACAATCATGTCATGAAAGATGGCGTTCATGGCTCTTTGATAAGTTGCACCCGCATTTTTTAAACCAAATGGCATTACTACCCATTCATACGTACCAATAGCTCCTGGGCAGCGGAAAGCGGTCTTTGGAATGTCTTCTTCTGCTATAAAAATCTGGTTATACCCACTGTGGCCACCCATGAATGACAGAATTCGGTGGCGTGCCGCACCATCCACCAATAAATCTGCAATAGGCATAGGATATTCATCTTTTGGTGTTGCCAGATTTAGATTTCTGAAGTCTACATAGATTCTCAGCTTGCCATTCTTTTTAACCACAGGAACCACATTAGATAACCATTCCACATATCTGGAAGTTCTGATGAAACCAACCTTCAACAGCCGCTCTATCTCTTCTTTGACTTTTAAAGTGACTTCTGGAGACATTCGTCTAGGCGGCTGTTTAAAAGGCTTGAAATCTGGTCTAATTGGTAATCTGTGCTCTACCAGATTTCTGTCCAGACCTAGCATTTCAGAATAGTCCCAAGCAAAACAGTCCTTGTACTCACGCAAAATATTGATAATTTTATCATGCAAACACGGCTCAAGAGAACCGCTAATAAAAGTAATTTTCGGATCTGCCTCAATACCCAGATTTACCTCCTCTAGGGGATCTTGTACTTCTGCCTTCAGATCATCAAGTTTTGCTGGTGCCAGATCTAATTCCTCTAGTGTTATCTGATCCTTCAAATCTTCCTCTTCACCTTCGTAGACTACTTCAAATCTGTCTACACAGATCCGTTTTTCAGCAAGGTAAGCCGCTAACTTTCTCTTGATTTCTTCCACGGCCTCCTTTTTCTGGTGCTTAATTCGATCTTTCTTCATGGAATTTCTTCGATTTTAGGTTCCTCCCTCGGCCTAAAAGGAACAATGGCTGTAGGCCGAAGTAGTTCATCACACACCTCCTTCACAGTATGTCTGTCCATTGCAGATCTGGTGCAGGCAATGATTCCAGAAAGTCTGCCATAGCGGTCCATCCCAAAGAAACGGATAGTCCCAATATCTTCATCATAATAACGAGCTTCCACTGCATTGGTACTCGCCACAAATGGTTTGTCATCTGCTGTCACGACTTCAGTTCTGCCACCATTCCAGAATATTAATTTTTGATGCAGAGTTGAAGGAACGCACCAGCTGGAATGTATCCAATCTCTCCCAAGCAATGCATTATAAGTGGCAATGGTGTCAACCACAAAGAATGCACACATGAGAGTTCTATTCCCAACAGTAAATTCCACTGGCAGAATTCCCCTTGAGCTATTTACTCCACCAGTAAAGTCACTGATTGTCACTTCTGTCTCCATTAAATCACCCAAGGATTTGCCAATCTTGTGTAGAATACAAGTTGGCAAAACATTGACAGCTGCTCCATTATCAACCAGAACTCGATTTATTGGCATACCATCTAGATGTGCATGAATGTATAATGGCCTGATGCGTCTGGCCATTCTCTCTTCTGGTTTTTCGAAAATGATTTTATCTGCTAAATCCATGCCACCATCTACCTTAGCTGGGATCTCAATGACTTCTTCTTCCTCAGTCAAATCTGTTTGGTGACAGACTGCAGATTCTGGCTGCTCTCTTGCTTGAAAGACCAAAGGAAGAGTGATCACCAAGCAAGATAAATTCACGGAAAACTCACCAAAACAGATTACACCTGATGAATTTTTCGCTTTATCTGACACGTCAAACTTTGCCTTCAATTCTTCATTGGATTCCACAGCCAGAATTCGAGGTGATGTTGGAATTCTAGGTGGTTCCTCCTTTTCTGGAGAATTCTGATCAGATGAACTCCCTTTTTCTTTACGGACCCACACTGATTTTCTTCTTGCTGGGAGCAGCTGAGCCTGATCTGCCATGCCCCCCGAGTCTGTAATCTGCTATCGGTGTCTTTCTGCAGCCCTTTTACGTTGTAAACGCCTCCTCAAGGTCCTTGGATTCTGACCTTTAGGAAATTTTGGATGCACCACACGTTCCCATCGTTTGGTTGGAGATCTGGGTGGTGGTTTCACCATTCTGGGCTTTTTTGCACCTGCAGATATCGCAGTTCCCTGATTTGCATTATTTTTCTGTTGAGTTGAGTTGTACCCCCCGGGCTGTCTCCTTCGGTATGAACCTGATCTGACTTGATTTCTGCGGGCCCTGGCCTCCTCAATGACCCACCTCAGATCATCAACTGCAAGTCTACGCCTATAGTATGTCTGAGTTCTGTCTCTAGTAATGCTCCTGAGATCTGCCGCGTTCACCCCAACAAACATGGTAGGGAATGGGTCTGCATCAACTCCCATAGTTTCTTTGGCCTTATCTGGAAAGCGCAGAATTCCCTTGTCGATTTTTTCTTGTAAAACATTCCGAAAAATCACACAATCATTAGTAGAATGTTTCCAAGAATTGTGATATTTACAATATTCTCTATTTCCAATTTCGCCCGCCATTGGGATTTTATGTCCCGGCGGCAATTTAATTAGACCACTTTTTTTAAGGTGGTCAAAAATTTCATTAGTTTTTGAAATGTCAAAGGTGCATTGTTTTCCAGCCTCTTCGACATAACATTTTACTGTTTTGTCGGTCTGCTGGGCCACTTTAACCAAATCTGGGCAAACAACTGGCTTGTCTGCCACCACTTCTGCCACGTCCAGAGCAAAGTTGGCATCACCATAATACGTCCCATGAGATGTAGATTTCCTTTGTGTGTCCTCTCGCAACAGATTTTCATAACGAGCCACCTTGTAAGACAACTCAAAGAAATCACGAAACTCCATTCCCTCAAACTTTTTCCTCAATTCAATGTCCAGACCATTTTGTGCCAGTTTGACAAATTCCTGTTCTGGCATGGCAACTCTGCACTTAAGTCTGGCCTTCCGAAATCTGGCTAGAAAGGCCTCAGAAGTTTCTCCAGGTCACTGCACCAGACGAGATAAATCTGCCATGGACACTTCTGGCTCACTGCGGTAGAACTGGATGTGAAAAAGATCTTCCATCTGCCTCTAAGTATAAACAAAATTTTGTGGCAGACTTAAATACCAGGTGAGAGCTGTACTAGTTAAAGAACTAGGAAAAAGCCTGAGCTTTAGATTATCATCACCGGAGGCCTCGCCACACTGAATTGTGAAGCGGCCTATATGTTCAATTGTAGAATATCCACCATCTTCGAAAAATAGAGTGAATTCTGGAACCTTGAACCCCCTTGGAAAAGGATTCTCTTGGTCTATGAAATCTGGATATGGTTTTCTGTAGGCAGGTCTGACAAGAGGCCTCAGAACTGGACCATAAGCCTCCTGCACCATGTCAATGATCTTATCACGATTGATGTACTGTCCTGGCAGATTTGGAAGATTTTGCTGCACAGGTGGCACATATGGCTGGAAATGCTCCCTTTGTGGAGGTGCATTATGTTGTTGATGTCCTCCATTTGGTCGGCGAGGAGGTGGCAGATATCTAGGATGCTGGTGATTTCCCAGATCTGCTGCACGTGCTGCAACCTCAACAGGATCTGGCTGCACTGGTCCGCCTGCTACTTGCTGAATCTGGGGAGGTGGTTGTGGCAGATTTACTTGCCCCCCGATTGCTGGAGCTGGAATATTCTGATTCTGCCTTTGAAGATCTGCTGCTTGTGGCTGAGGCTCAATTCTGACATGTCGAAATGCCTCCTGCATTCGTTCCGTTTCAGCTTGGAAAGCTCTCCAATTTTCTGCATTTTGCTCGCGCCAGATTCTGTTACTTTCTTCATTAGATCGCCGCATGTCGGCTACACTTTGGGCTACACTTTGAGCCAAATTCTGAGCCAGATTCTGAAAAGACTCATCCAACTGTCTAGAAACCTCTTGGCTCCTTTGTCGAGCTTTCTCCTCAGATTCCATCAGTGTGTGCCTCATGATGCTAATATGATCTGACACAGCTTTCACAAGAGAATCACCAGATTGAGCAACATCATCTCCAGATTCACTACCCTTGTTGAAGGTAGGATTGACAAAAGAATGCTCCCTAAGTATTGGTGACAATGGTGGTGGAATGATTGGCTCATTCTCTCCTTCTGAGTGTGTTGGACTGCCTTCACCAAGCCCAATATGTAAAGTCTGGACAGCCTTCCCAACGTTTCTTTTTGGTGGCATGATTGCACTTTTTCTTGGGAAAAAGAACAACGGATCTGAAAACTGTAAGTAAGACATGATGAGGTCCCACCGGGCGTGCCAAAAAAGGATTGTTTCCTCAAAAATCCTCTAGTGGCCTCGCACGTGTGAAATCTGATGCGGGCGTGCCACTTACTTGGCTGAAAGAAAGAAATGAGGACTTTCCCAACGACCCTCTCCTTCCTCACGGTCGACCTCTTCGCAAATGGCGGGAAGAACGTTGGATTAAAATGAAATTTGTGCCTTCAGACGATTTGCAAGAGGGAGGGATACCTTTCTGCAGAATGGGTTACAAAATCTGCCTTGGACAACTCCAAGGACTTAAACACTACCGTGACTTACAATTAACAAATCCTAATTATTCTAAATTACTTGCAATTTAAAATAAACTTACGAGAAAGAAGTGTTCCCAAATTAAATTAAACATGCTTATGATAAAATTAAAAGTGCAATCTATTGACAGATTCAGAAATTAAATTGCTGCAGATCTGGAAACTTAAACATAATTAGCACTGAAATTAAACGTGAACAGCAAATAAATAACGTGAACAGTGAATAAATTGAAGAAACTTGAAATTGGAAAGAAGCTTGAAGGCAACATAAGTAATCATTGAAGCAATGCTACTTAACATAAACATTAAATTAATTACAAATGAAAAGAAAACAATACCTTGCATAAACTTGAAGGATTGAAGTTCATTGCATGAAGGAAAATTGTTTTAACTGAATATAGGAATAAATTTGTCTACTGGAATGAGGAAAAACAACCTAATTCTAATGGGATCTGTGCTGAAATATGAAATCTGTTCTAAGGAACCGAAATCTGGAAGCATGTGCAGAGAAAATCAAAGTATGAAAAGTTGCAGTTGTTTGAGTAAGGCTGGCCGTGTTTTCCTTCTGTGCCGAAGTTTCCTTTTTGTTCCTCTTTGTGCCGACAGTTACTCAATCATAGGTAATTTGTTGGAGTAGTGGGACACCTCACCTATTGACCTAGTCTAATCCCCTTTCAGATTTTGCCACCTGGACTTTATCAGATAAAATCCCCTTTTTA